CCCCCCCCAAGTTCCAAAGTCTCTCATGGGTCCCCTGTACGGCCTCCCATTGCTGCTGTCTCCATCGCCACACTCTGCCATGATGCCACTTTCAGGTCTCCTCACACTGCTGGTGTGTAGAAATTTTTTTTGTCCATAGGGAAGGCTGGCCCCAGATTACGGGCCTCCCTATAGCTGCTGCCAGGCCCCTAATCTGCCATGGCCCCTATATATCCGCCTTCCTCATGCTGCTGCCAGGGTCCAGAGTCTCATCATGGGTCCCTGTACGGGCCTCCCCATTTGCTGCTGTCTCCATCGCCACACTCTGCCATGTGCCACTTTCAGGTCTCCTCACACACTGCTCGGTGTGTTAGAATTTTTTTGACATAGGGTCTGGCAGATTCCGCAGACGACGGCCCCCATATAGCTGCTGCCAGCCCCTAATCTGCCATGGACCCCCTATACACCGCCTCCTCCAATGCTGCTGCCAGGTCCAGAGTCCTCTCATGGTCCCTGTACGGCCTCCCATTGCTGCTGTCTCCATCGCCACACACTCTGCCATGTGCCACTTTCCCCAGGTCTCCTCACAACACTGCTGTGTGTGGTTGAATTTTTTGACATAGGGTGCTGGCAGATTACGGGCCTCCCATAGCTCTGCCCAGCCCCTAATCTGCCATGGGCCCCAATATAACCCGCCTCCTCATGCAGCTGGCCAAGGTCCAGAGTCTCTCATGGGTCCCTGTACGGCCTCCCATTTGCTGCTGTCTCCATCGCCACAACTCTGCCATGTGCCACTTTCAAATCTCCTCACACACACTGCTGGTGGACCAAGATTACATTTTTTTTGACATAGGGTGCTGGCAGATTACGGGCCTCCCATTGCTGCTGCCAGGGCACCCTAATCTGCCATGGGCCCCCTTACGCGACTGCCTCATGCTGTGACGGAGTTGCAACAGGTAGGTGAACATTTCAACCCTACATATGTTAGACCGCAAAGCCTTTACGAACAGCGAAAGCCATCACAGATTGCCTGATGTTAAAAGCGGATAAAGGTACATCCCTGTGTAACTTAGATGTCCCATGTCAGCTCTATAAAATGGCACCTCCCATGCTTGACACCTTGATGCGCTTGCTCAGGCCCTTTGAGAGGCCACGCTATTCGTGAGTCGGCAGGACTATGGGATGAACGTCGTCATTCCTCTGTTGCACGTCCTGGAACTCAATGCTGTTAACAATGGCTGGTCAGGGTGCGGTAGACGTGGCGCACAGATCTCAACGCCACATGACCCCTGTGGGGGCAGGACACTGGAAGAAGAGGAGGAGGTAGAGGAGGACATTGGTGCTCAGGAATTATTGAGTGAAATGGGTGGTTTTTCCACTCAGCGGACAGGAGTGGAGGAGCAGGAGCATCTGGTAGAGGAGGAGGAGGAGGAGACAGAGGACCCAGACGCACCGTGGCAGTATGCTGTGGAGATGGAGGTAGGGAGTCCCTCGCATTCCTTGGCACAAATGGCCCATAGCATGCTCGCTTGCTTGCGTAGCGACAGCCGAATAATAACCATCAGACAGAGGGATGACTTTTGGCTGTCCACCTTGTTGGACCTCGCTACCGTTCAAAAATGGTGGCCTTTTTCACACCTGCTGAGAGGGAGGCCAAAAAAAACGTACTATAAAAACCACCTATGTAGTCAGCTGGTCTCTGCCTTTCTGCGCCAACGTCCATCCTCAGACACTGTGGGCCCTGTGCGCTCGCGTTCCGCTGCCATGGCAGCAGGGGGAGGGGTGGGGTGGTAGGAGCAGTGGCAGCTCCACCAGCAGCGGCTGCCTCAGTCTGCAGTCGATGATGAGTAGCTTTCTTCACCAGCGCAGTGAGGGGAAACTACTAACCAGCCGCAGCAGCAGCAGCAGCATCAGGTGGACCTGGAGCAGGACCTCAAACAACAGGCTTAGGCCTACTTGGACAGCACCCTGCCAACCGAGGTAGACCAATCCCCTTGACTACTGGGCAACGAAACTTGACCTTTGGCCCCAACTAGCTGAATTTGCCCTTGAAAGGCTGTCATGCCCGGCCAGTAGCGTGGCATCGGAGCGCGTGTTTAGTGCGGCAGGAGGTATTGCAACTCCGCGGAGGACACGACTGTCCCACCCAAAGTGTGGAGAGACTCACGTTTGTGAAAATGAATCAGGCGTGGATTAGTCTGGATTTCAAACCACCAGTTTCCTGACACAACTGACTAAATCCGCCATGAATCATGCCCCAAACATGTGCCACTTTCAGGTCTCCTCACACACTGCTTGTGTTTTTCAATTTTTTGACATAGGGTGCTGGCAGATTACGGGCCTCCCATAGCTGCTGCCAGGCCCCTAATCTGCCATGGGCCCCTATACCGCCTCCTCATGCTGCTGCCAGGTCCAGAGTCTCTCATGCCATGTGCCTCTTCACACTTTCAGGTCTCCTCACACACTGCTGGTGTTCAATTTTTTGTCATAGGGTTCTGCCAGATTACGGGCCTCCTATAGCTGCTGCCAGGCCCCTAATCTGCCATGGGCCCCTATATACCGCCTCCTCATAGCTGCTGCTGCCAGGTCCCATAGTCTGTCATGGGTCCCCTGTACGGCCTCCCATTGCTGCTGTCTCCATCGCCACACTCTGCCATGTGCCACTTTCAGGTCTCCTCACACACTGCTGGTGTGTTTCCATTTTTTGTCATAGGGTGCTGGCAGATTACGGGCCTCCCATTGCTGCTGCCAGGCCTGTAATCTGCCATGGGCCCCCGTATTCCCGCCTGGTCACGCTGCTGCTCTGGGTCCACAGTGTGACGGGTCCCTGTACCGCCTCCCATTGCACCCCACTCTGCCATTTGCCACTTCAGGTCTCCTCACACTCCTGCTGGTTTCCATTTTGGCATAGGTCATAATTGTCTGGCCTACGGGCCCATAGCTTCCAATCTCCCATTGATTTTGGCCCCGTGACTGGCCAAATGAGGCCAAGTGTGCCGCCAATCCTGCTCCATGCTGGGCTTCCAGTTTTGTCATAGGTTGCTGGCAGATTACAGGCCTCCCATAGGTGCTCCCCAGCCCCAAATCTGCCATGGGTCCCCCGCCCGCCTCGTCACGCTGCTGTGGGTCCACCAGTGTGACATGGGTCCCCCTGTACCGCCTCCCATTGCTCCCAATCTGCCATGTGCCACTATTCAGGTCTCCTCACACTCCTGCTGGGTTCCATTTTGTCATAGGTTGCTGTATGGCCTCCCATTGCTGCTGCCTCCACCGCCACACTGTGGCTCCAAACACTGGTTTTGGCCCCGTGACTGGCCAAATGAGTGAAGTGTGCGGTGATTCTAAGATCGACGGCACTCATCGGTGCATGTCATACTGACTGACAGTATTATTTCTCTTCCCAGCAGACTCCAAGGGCATTTAAATTAAAGGTACAGTGTTCTGCACTAATATTAAGTCTCTCTGAAGCCTAGAAACAGAGACACCCTTTTTTAAGTTAAATTCACAGCGAATTTATTCGACTCGAATCGTAATATTGTCCACGAATTCGCCGAATCAGTCGAAGCGAATTTTTCATTTCCGGCTCGCTCATCTCTAATCACCATGAATAATACATAAGGGGGATATGGATCTCCATGTATATACATTAATGGGGGGATGTATCCGATCTCTCATGTATCGCCAATACATAAGGGGGATATGATCTCACATGTATAATACATGTTATGATCAGGTCCATGTATAATTACAATAAGGGGGATATGATCTCCATGTATAATACATAAAGGAAGGGATATGATCTCCATGTATAATACATAAGGGGGATATGATCTCCTGTATAATACATAAGGGGGATATGATCTCCATGTATAATACATAAGGGGGCGGATATGATCTCCATGTATAATACATAGGGAGGATATGGATCTCCATTGTATAATGTTACATTAGGCGGGATATGATACTCCATATATAATACATAAGGGGGGATATGATCACCATGTATAATACATAAGCGGGGGGATATGATCCTACCATCAGCATGTATAATACACTATAGCCTTTCTCTGATCCCCATTATAATCCATATGGGATATGGTTAATCCATGTCTTCTGCCACTGATATTACAAGACACCCCTGGATTATTGATCTCCATTTTTTATGTGACATAATATTTAAGGGGGCGAATTTATCTCTCGAATGCATAATATTGTCTAAGGGGTGATATTTCGCCGTACTCCATGTATAATACATCGAATTTTTTTCATTTCTGATCTCCATGTCTAGTTATAATACATATCTGGGGGTTATGATCTGTCATGTGGGCTTAATACAAAAGGGGGATAAGGATCAACCATTGTAATAAATACATAAGCGAGGGGACATATTATCCCATTATAATACCTAAGGGGCAAAATATGATCTCCCATGTATACGCCCCTCTTATCTGTTTCCTATAATTATCTCCATGTAATAATACATAAGGGGGATATGATCCCATGTACATATTTAGATATGGGGGGATATGCAATCTTCCATCTATATTACAATAAGGGGGGATAGCTTCATCTCCGATGACTAATATACAATATTTCTTAAATGATCCCCTGTATAAATGCCTGTAAGGGTGGATTATGATCACCATGTATTATATCATGGGGGGATATGGGGATCACTTCCCCATGTATAATACATAAGGGGGGATATGATCTCCATGTATAATAAATACATTGGGGATCCAAAGATTGGTCGGCGGGGGGGGTTGCGGGGGGGGGTGCTAATAAGGGGGGGTACATAAGGGGGGCCCATGATAGGAAGGTATCAAGGGGGGATATGATCTCCATGTATTAAAGATACATAAGGGGGATATGATCACCCAAATGCCTATAATTACATAAGGGGAGGATATTATCTCCAAGTATAATACATAAGGGGGATATGATCTCCATCGGCCAGAAAAAACTGGCCTTATGATCAATCCAATGTCATAATACATAAGGGGGATATTGTCAATCTCCATGTATAATACCATAAGGGGGATCAGAGATGGCTCCATGTATCAATACATAAGGGGGCATATTGATCTCCAAGTATACAATACATTTAAGGGGATATGATCTCCATGTATAATACATAAAGGGGGATCATGATCTCCATGCTTATGAGGCAAATACATAAGGGGGATATGATTCTCCATGTCCCCCCCTTAATAACTTCCGCCCTGGGGGATAATGCCACCCCATCCTCCCATGTATAATTACATAAGGGGGGATATGGATTTTCCGGTGTAATAATACATAAGGGGGACTATGATCTCCATGTATTATACATAAAGGGGGGATATGGCATCTACCATGTATAATACATAAGGGAGTGATCATTCTCCATGTATAATAATGCTTTAAGGGGGGATATGATTCACCATGTATAATAAATAAGGGGGATATGGGATCTCCATGTATAAAAAACATAAGGGGGATATGATCTCCAAGGTATAAAACATAAAGGGGGGATATGATCACCATGAAAATAATACAATAAGGGGGGATAGAAAATAACTCACATGTATAATACATAAGGGGGGATATGATCTCCAGTGTATAATGAACATAAGGGGGATAAATCACCATGTATTATATACATAAATCATAATGAAATCCCAATTAATATAATACAAATAAGGGTCCAAGGATAATTGATCTACCCATGTATAATACTGTAAGGGGGATAATGATCTTCCATGTAATAATACATAAGGGGGGGTTATGATCAAACCATGTATAATACATAAGGGGGGAGGGGATATGGTCACCTATTAGAGATTGAGCGAATCGAACACGACGAAGTAGGAATTCGTTCCGAAAGATTTGGAAAAATTCTAATTCGCGACGAATCCGAAGATTAGCCAAACTCGGATGCACGAATCGAATTTTCGCCAAAATGGCTGGCGGCGACATGTGATGTGGCGACGGAGAAAATGGACAGAGAAGATGGGGCTGGGATCTCTGGGAAGGCGCGCAGGGACAAGGCGCACTTGACCCATAGATTGCATTCTTGACAGTGTTTGATCGCCATTAGCCAATCAGCAGCCAGCCTGCACTGTGTATGATCGGAAGCTATATAAATCCGCGGCCATCTTAGAATTTCTCCATTTAGCCTTTACCGGTCATTCAAGAGAGGCTAGCACCCTGTGATGTAATAATGGACAGAGTTAGGGCCAGCAAGAGACTTTATAGGAGCGCAAAGAATCGTTTACTCAGGCCACAGAATCGTTTACTCAGGGACACAGAATCGTTCTCAGATGGACACAGAATCGTTACTTAGGCCACAGCAATCAAAGAATTCAAAAATTTAAAGTGACATACAAAAACACCCTTTTTTTTTTTGGTGCTGTCCGTTGCACGTTGGTGCTGCGGTTTGCCGACTGGGGCAAAATAAACTGACTTTCTTCTCTGCTTCAACAAAAACCACATATGTACGTTCAAATAGTTAAATCCATTTACACGCCACAGCGCTGGCGGGTAATATATTTTTGGATGATTAACGTGCGAGCATCTCTCCGTGACCACAACCGTTACAGTTTCCCAGCAACGGCAAGCTGCTATTGACCGATTGTGTACAATAAACTGACTTCCTTCTGCTTCCAAACCCACTATTGTACGTTCAAAGAGTTAGAATCCTTTTTCCCACCCCGGGGTGGGGGAAATTTTTTTTTTTGGGGGTGTTTAAGTGAAATTCCAGTGACATAAACGTACATTTTAAAAAGCCAACGGCAAGTTGCAATTGACTTTTTAATGGCCTTAAATTGAAGCTGCTTCCCCCGCTCCGCCCTCGGGCCAAAGGGAAACCTTTTTGAAAGTCGTCCCCCACACTGCGTTGGGGGGACTTTTTAAACATGGGGCCTCTGAAAGGCCCCTTAAAATTTAAAGCTTTTTTTTACCTTCCCAACACTGTCATGGGCCCCTGTACCGCCTCCTCTTGCCTTTTCCCCAGGTCCAGAGGGGTGTCATGGGCCCCCTTTTAGGGCCCCTTCCCTTTGCTGCTGACTTCATCGCCAACTCTGCCATGTGCCACTTTCCAGGTCTCCTTACACGTTTTGGGGTTTCCATTTTGTGATAAGGGGGGCCCGATGGCCCCTTTCCCTTGCTGGGAAGCCTCCCAAACCCCCACCCTGCGAATGTGCCTCTGTCGTGGGTCACGCTGCCCGACAGGCTTCCCCCCCCTTTTTAAAAAACCGAGGCCTGTGGGTTTGGGTTCCGAATACTGCCAGCATCCACCCGGCCTCCCTGCGCCATTTTCTCGGGCCCTCTGCTCACCCCTGCCCGACGGCCTTTCCCCTTTTTAAAAACCCGGCCTGTGTATGGCTTCAAAAATAATGCGCCTACACCGCCACCCCTGCGCCATGTGCCTCTGGTCTCTGCTCACGCTGCCCCCCCCAAGTCCATACTGATTCAGGCCCCCTGGGAAACCCCGGGGTCCTCATGAACGGGTTAAGCCCGGGGTTTTCATCACTTAAAAAAAAAAGGGGAAATCGTTGGGCAAACCCCATGGGGTGTTCAGTGTTTTTGCCATTAAGGCCAAACCCAAAAAGGGCAGCAAAAGACCTGTTTTTTTAATCCCCCAAGCATGGCTGAACAAAACCATTTTCTACCACAAATTGGGCCCGACCTCCCAGGGTCTCGGGTTTTAATTTTCACGGAAAGGGGTAAAATTTTCCCTTTTTTTGGAATTAACGTGAGGGACTTTTTAAAACCTAAAAGGGGCCTGTGTATGGCCTTCAATTTAAGTGGGTTTCTGCTTCCGGGCCCCTTTTGCCATTGGACTCTTGATAGTCCCCCTCCCCACGCTGGGTGCAGGGGGGGGCTTTTTAAAAATAGGGGCCCCTTGGGATTGGGCCTTTTAATTTAGGGGTGCCCTTTACGCTCCGCCACTCTGCCCTTTGGGGGCCCCGACCCCCCCCCCCAAATGCTGCCCGCCAGGGGCCCGTAATCTGCCATGGGGCCCCCCGTTAAAACCCCCGTCCCTCATGCTGCTTGGGCCCAAGGCCCGTAAAACGCCCCTGAGCCCCCCTACCGGAAAACCCCCAAGCTGCTGCCCAAAGGCCCCCTTTAAACCCGTCCCTGGGCCCCTGTAACCGCCTCCTCCAATTTTCGCCTGCCAGGCCCTAATCGCCCTTTGGGGCCCCCCCGTACCGACTTCCTCATGGGGCTGGCCCGGGGCCCGTAATCTTCATGGGCCCCCCCGTACTTTCATTTCCATCCCATGCCTTTCTGCCAGGTCCAGAGTCTCTCAAAGGGTCCCTTTAAAAAGGGGGGCCCCCCAATTT